ACGTCCCAGCCTCCTTCCAGGCTCCAGTGCATCCCCACAGGCTGCAGAGCTGATCTGCCTGGCCATGGTTCCCCATCACCTTGAGGCAGAGCCTGCTTTTTTCTGGCAACAGAGGCACAGTGTGGCCTGGGCCAGCTGCTTTCTCTCCAAATCATGCTCTATCTTCTAGCAACTCTAACCCACTACTCCTACTGTGGTCTCTGCCTGGGACTTGCCTTGCCTTTGTGTCTCGTTATCTAGAAACAGCTTTCACTCTGCCTGGGGCTGAATACCAAGCTGAACTGGCTCCCACACTGCCTGGAGACTGCCCATTTTATCCCGAATTTGGACTGCTGGCCGTCTGAACCACTTTCAGCCTTGCTCTCCCTGCCTCCACACTCGTTTGTCACTGAGCCACACTGTCAATAATCTTTCACTGGTGGATTCTAGGCAAGTGCTCTCCTGCTGAACCACACACCAGCCCCACTAGTCAATTCCAGATAGACACTTTACTGCCAAGCTACAGCCCAGCCTTTTCATTTTGAGACAAAACGTCCCTAATATGGCCAGCTTGGCCTTGAATTTGTCATCTCTTTGCCTCATCAGGAAGCTGATTCATCAGGACTGCTTTCTTGCCTTTCTCCCCCTTTAGGTTTATTTTTATTTTTTATTCGAGTGTTTTGTCTACATGTGTATGAACCACATGTGTGTCTGATATCTTTGGAGGCCAGAGGGCATCAGATTTCCTAGAACTGGAGTTACAGATGGTTATGAGTTGCCACATGGGTGCTGGGATTTTCAAGAGTACTGTTTCAGCCTTTGTTTTTTAAAACAAAACAAGGTCCCCCTCTGTAGCCCTCACTGGCCTGGAACTTGCCATGAAGACTAGCCCAACTTTGAACTCAGAGATCCACCTGCTTCAGAGTGCTGGATTAAAGACTTGAGCCATCAAGCTGAAGTGAGCAAGTGTTTTTAACCACTGAACCATTTTTCCTCTCTCCAGGTGATTTCCATGTCCTTTACTCTCCATGACAATGGAAACGCAGCATGTCATCCCCGAGGCCTGCAGCTCCCTGGGTTCTTACCTGTGGGCTTCACTCTCACAGGCCGGTGCACATAGGGACTTCCTCCTCTGCACCCTGACTGACAGTGCTGTCCTGCCTATGTTACAGCCAGGTCAGTCAAAATAAGGGTCACTTTTGTCTGGTGGTGGTGGTGGTGGTGGTGGAGGCGGCGGCGACGCACACCTTTAGTCTCAGCACACGGGAGGCAGAGGCAAATGGATCTCTGTGAGTTTGAAGCCAGCCTGGTCTCCAGAGTGAGTGCCAGGACAGCCTCCAAAGCAACACAGAGAAACCCTGTCTCGAAAAAAAACCAAGACCAAATCAAACCAAAACACAATATAACTGTTAAATTTCAAACTTTCTGGAAGATTGTAGCTGGGCATGTTTGGGAGATCTGTAATCCTAAAGCTGAGGTGTGAGGGTAACAGTTCATGATGGCACACGCCTTTTATGCCTGCCCAAGGGAGAGACCCTGTCTCCAAAAACAGAAAGAAAGAAAGAAAGAAAGAAAGGAAGAAAGAAAGAAAGAAAGAGAGAGAGAAAGGCCATTCGTGTAGTGGTGGTGCACGCCTTTTTAATCCCAGAACTCGGGGCAGGGGTTGGGAGGGGGCCAGCAGAGACAGGCAAATATCTAAGTATCTGAGTTTGAGGCCAGCCTGGTCTACAAGAGTGAGTTCTGGGATTACCAGGGCTACACAGAGAAACCCTGCCTCGGGGAGAAAACAAAAACAACCAAAACAAAAAATTTCCCAGAGGAGTGTTTCATCGGAGGGGATTCGGTCAGAACTTGGAGCGTTTTTGAAAGGAGTTGGCACTGATAATACTGGGGAGCCCTGCTATAATTTCGGGAGTGACTCTGACGCGGCTCCGGTGGGGAAAGTCGCCATAGGCAGGGCGTACCTGGAGTCGGGCCTCGGCTGACGGCCACCGACGACGAACGGCGGTTGCGAATGGCGCGGGAGACGTGCTCACACGCGCCTTTCCCGCCCGAAATGCAAATGGGCGGGCTTCCGTCAAGCCCCGCCCCTCCCGGGTTCTGGTCTCCACGCAAGCGCACAGCAGGTCGAAGGCGCCCGCGGATCCCCTTAGCCTGAACCCCGTGGTCGCGCATGCGTAGAACTCCTCGGAAGGCTCGCCTGGACCAGAGCGAGCGCATGCGCTCTGGCGGAGCGAGGGTTGATGGCGCTAGACCACTGGCAGCTTTCTTATGTGCCATGGGGTTTTCCCTCTGCTTGATGAAAAGCAGGTTAGGGTTCGACTGTTCACCCTTCGCTTCTTGTTAGTCACTGAACCGAGTCCTTTTTGTCTTCTCTTGGGTCCGGGCCCACCCGCTACCGTCACAATGATGCACAGCCTGGTTCAGCCTCACTTCCGCTTCATGCCCTCCTGTGGCATTAATGCGTACCCAACCTGCATTCCCCCCCAAATTTACTTTCTCTACTTTCCACATTGCCATTGCTACTGCATTGCCTAGCAGTGTAGTCCAGGCTGGAGCAATCACCCTGCCTCAGCCCATCCGCTGGGCCACTCAAACCTTTCCACTAAGAGGAAGGAGGGACATGCAGCTTTTTAAATTTTTTATTATTTTTTTCCATGGCAATAAAGAAGGAGCAGGTGCCCGGACTGATTCCCAAAGATCTTTGGAACAGAGGACTCCAACCTCTCGTTGGTTTGTCACTTAGAAAACATGCCCTCTTGCTGCACTTTCCATCTCATCGCTGGGTCTGCTCCATCTGTTTAGGGTCCATGAAGTGGTAGGGTCTGTTTGGGAGTGCCATTCCCAGGCTGCATCCCTGTATGCTCTCTGTAGAATGACCAGGTGCTTAATGGCTAGCACACAGGAGGCAGGGTCAGGAGGGTGGGGGAAAGTGAGGCCAGCCTGGTCTACGGAGTCCTAGGCTGGCCACATTACATAGTGAGACTATCAAAAAAATAACACTTGTCACCCATCCTGGAGACCTGGGCTGGATCCCCAGGACCCATGGTAGAAGGTTCCCTGAATTCACATGCATACCATGTCATGTGTCTACCCTCCTACCCCTTGTTTAAAAACACAAAAATTTATTTAACAATAGGGAGCTGGACATGTAGCTCAGCTAGTACAGTGAACTGGACATGGTGGTATACCAGCATTCAGGAGGTGAGGCAAACGTTCAAGGTCTTTCTCAGCTTGGCATGAGACCCTGTGTGTGCTGCTTAGGTCTTTGTCACCTAGATAAAATCTAGTCAACTGGGGAGAATTCAACTGAGTTCTCAACTGAGAAAATGCCTCATTAGATTGATTACCCTGTAGGCAAGTCCGGGGGCATATTTCCTTGGTTCATGTGTGATGTGGGAAGACCCAGCCCACTGTGGGCAGAACCACTCCTGGGAAGGCAGTTCTGAGTTGCATGAAAAAAGAAAGCTGAGGGAACCATGGTTCTGCTTCAGTTCTTGCTTTGAGCTCCTGCCCTGACTTTCCTCATTAATGGAATGTCTTCTGAGAGTTGTACAATGATCCAGCAATGGTGGTTTACACGTTTAATACCAGCATTTGGGAGACAGAGGCAGGAGGATCTCTGTGAGATGGAGGCCAGCCTGGTCTACAGAGTGAGTTCCAGGACAACCAGGGATGCACAGAGAAACTCTGCATTGAAAAATCAAATTAAATAAAATTAGTACTTTTAAACAAAAACATTTTGTTGTTGTTTGAGAGAGGGGTTTCTCTGTGGCTTTGGAGGCTGTCCTTGAACCAGCTCATGTAGACCAGGCTGGTCTCACAGAGATCCACCTGCCTCTGCCTCCCGAGTGCTGGGATTAAAGGCATGCGCCACCACTGCCCAGCAACAAAAACATTTTTATATTAACAAATATTAATCTTTCAACATTTGTTGTTTCTCCTTTTGTAAGATTTTGGGTAATTTATGGAATCTAAAAAACATCTGGTGTGGCTCGGCAGGTTCGGTGCTTTAAAAACTTGGGGCTTAGAAGGACAGACCGGATCAAAGGCTTCAGTACCAGGTGCACATAATGGTGCCATAGGAGACCAAGTTTCCCAACCAAAAGACAGTTGTCGTGGCTGGTTTTGTGTGTCAACTTGACATAAGCTAGAGTCATCTGAGGAAGGAGCCTCTGTTGAGGAAAATACCTAGATGAGATCCAGGCCTAAGGCATTTTCTCATTTAGTGATTATCGGGGGAGGGCAAAGCCCATTGTGGGTGGTACCTTCCCTGGGCTATTGGTCCTGGGTTCTATAAGATGGGTTCAAAGCTGGGCGGTGTTGGCATAAGCCTTTAATCCCAGCGCTTGGGAGGCAGAGGCAGGCAGATCTCTGTGAGTTTGAGGCCAGCCTGGTCTACAGAGCAAGTTCCAGGATAGGTCCAAAGCTACAGTGAAACTCGAAAAACCAAAATAAACAAAAAGGTGGGTTGAGCCAGCCATGGTAAGTAAGGCAGTAATGCATCATCCCTCTGTGACCTCTGTATTCAGCTCCTGCCTCCAGGGCCCTGCCTTGTTCTGTTCCTGTCTTCTTTTGGTGATGAACGGCTAAGCTAAAGTGTAAGCCAAGCCGGACGGTGGTGGCACACGCCTTTAATCCCAGCACTCAGGAGGCAGAGGCAGGTGGATCTCTGTAAGTTCAAGGCCAGCCTGGTCTATAAGAGCTAGTTCCAGGATAGCCTCCAAAGCCACAGAGAAACCCGGTCTCGAAAAACCAAAAATAAATAAATAAATAATAAAGTGTAAGCCAAATAAACCCTTTCCTCCCCAACTTTCTTTTTGACCATGGTGTTTCATTACAGAAATAGAAACCCGAAGACGATGTTCTGAATGAGATGCAGGCAAGAGCTGGCACAGCCATACTCAGATAAGTGTATGCATTCTGTGTATATGTTAGAGGGAGTAGCTACTGTGGCTTGGTTGGGAACAAATACCAAAAGGAGATAGTGCTAGATGTAAGAAAAAACTTTATTTCCATAAGGTGCTGGGGTAGGGTGAGGGACATGCAAGGACATCTGGTCCCCACCCTATAACTGCTGGGATGGCCTGAGGATGTAGAGAAAGTGCGTCTTTCGTATAGGCAGCTTGATGTGTTGGGGGACATGGGCCCCATCCTCGAGGTTGTCCTCATGGGCACCCCCACGGAGCCCGTCTCGGATGGCCTGCAGGCGATGTCGCTTTTCTATGAGCCAGCGGCTCCCATCCTCGACATCTGGCTGAGTCCTCCGCCTTGGCAGCTTCATGATCCAGAAAGCCACCCGCCGGGGCTCTGGGTGCAAACCATCTATGGCCTTCTGCACTGGCACCAGGGTCTCTTTCTCCTCCACTTTGGGCACCTGGGAATGAGGCACAGGGAGATCCTGGTCAAATGTCACACAGCACTTACAAGATGCTGGAACGCCTCAACCTACATCTCAGCTCACTTGGTGCTTTGGGGTTAAAAAACCCTTTTTGGGCTGACAGTTCTGTTTTCTGTCTGGCCTGCTGCATTCTTTGTGTAGTAAGTTTGCTTTTATTATTTATTTTTTAAAAGATTATTATTTTTATGTGCATTTGTGTTTTGCCTTATGTATGTCTGTGTGAAAATACCAGATTCCCTGGTGAGCAGCCATGAAGGTGCTGGGAAATGAACCCGGATCCTATAGAAGAACAGCCAGTGCTCTTAACTTAGCTATCTCTCCAGCACACAAATTTGTTTTTAAACTTCCACCATTACCTTAAAGATTTATTTTATGTTTACATGCTAAGTATGCGCACCACTTGCATGCATTAGTAGTGCCTTAGGAGAGGATATGAGCTGGGTTCCCAACATCCATGTCAAGTATCTCACAGGCTCATATAACTCATCTGGCCATTGTGTGGCTAAATTTTCTTTTATATAATTTACTTCATTTTATTTATGTATATTGGTGTGAGGGTGTTAAGTCTCCTGGAACTGGATTTACAGTTGTGAGCTGCCATGTGGGTGCCTGGAACTGAACAGGGAACTGAGTCCTCTAGGAAAACAGCTAGTGCTCTTAACCAAAAGCATTAGTTGGGTGGGCGTGGTGTACACCCTGATTCCAGCACTTGGGAGGCAGACGCAGCAAGGAAATTTCTGTGAGTTCAAGGCCAGCCTGGTCTATAGAGCAAGTTCCAGGACAGCAAGGGTTACATGGAAAAAAAGCTTGTCTCAAAAACAAAACAAAACAAATACCACGTGGTGGAAGTACATGTCTTTTATCCCAGCACTGGAGAGGCAGAGGCAGGCAGATCTCTGTGAGTTCAAGGCCAGCCTGGTCTACAGAGCAAGTCCAGGATAGGCTCCAAAGCTACACAGAGAAACCCTTTCTCAAAAACAAACAAAAGCCTTAAATTATGCCAGGTGCACATTCCTTTAAAACAAGCATCTCAGAGGCAGAGGCAGGAAGATCTCAGAGGTGGAGATCAGCCTGGAATACGAAGCAAGTTCCAGGACAGCCAGGGCTACATAGAAAGATCCTATCTCAAAAAAATCAAACCAACCGGGGCTGGAGAGATGGCTCAGAGGTTAAGAGCACTGGCTGTTCTTCCAAAGGTCCTGAGTTCAATTCCCAGCAACCACATGGGGGCTCACAACCATCCAGTATGAGATCTGGTGCCCTCTTCTGGTGTGCAGATAATAAAATCTTAAAAAAAAAAAAAAAAAAAAAAAAAAAACCAACCAACCAACCAACCAAAAACCCCAAACCATAACAAAGTAAAACATAAAAACAAGCATGGTGTGTCACCATTCCTGGCTATCTATGTCAAATTCCTGTTCTGAAATTACCCTAACTTCACTCAGTTGGGCTTGATGGTACAGGCTTGTTTTCCCAGTTACCTGTAGGTTGGGGCCAGCCTAGGCTACAGAGTGAGACCCTATCTGAAAAAAAGGCTCTGTTAGTAAAGTGCTTGTGCCCAACTATGAGAACTTGTGTTCAATCCCCAATATTCATGGAATAACCAGGGGCTGCAGCACATGCTGTAATGGTCACCTCGGGGTTGGGGTAGGGCAGAGCTGGTCAGCCAGCTTAACTGCACTGTGGGTGAGCTCCAGATTCAGTGAGAAACTCCTTTCTCAAAACAAAAACAAAAACAAAAACAGAACAACAACAACAAAGGTAGAGGCCTGTTGTGGTTTTCCACACCTTCAACCCCAGCACTTGCAGAATCAGGGTGGAGGGGGCAACCTCTGTGAGTTTGAGGTTAGCCAGGATACACAAGGAGACCCTGTCTCAAAAACAATAAAAAGGGAAATAAATAAATAGGTGGAGAGTGATTGAGGAAGACACTCAGCATCTACCTGGGCATCCCCATGTGTGTACACAGACACATAGACCCCAAACTAAATCAAGACAAACAAAACGTCTCTGAGATGTGCTCTGTATTGCTAGAATTGGTGGAGACTCTAAAACTCCCTGGGAAGACCAAAACACTTTCTGAAGTTTACAAATAGGCTTTCTGTATTTGTTTTGAGACAGGGTCCTGATATGTAGCCCTGGCTGGCCAGGTACTTGCTTTTATAGATCAGGCTGGCCTCCAACTCACAAAGATCCTCTTGCCTCTGGCCTAAAATTGTGTCATTCCTCCTGCCTCAGCCTTCCAAGTACTGGGATCACCTGTGTTTACAATCACACCTATTGACCTGTCCCTTTTGACGTATGTCACACTGAGCCCCAGAAATTTTGAAGATATTCCATGTACAGAGTGTGCACTGGCTAAGAGCCTAGAATCACCTGGGAAGACAGCCTGTACAGGAAGTTAACTAGATCAAGGTTGTTAATTGATGTAGGAAGAGCCATACCCTAGACAATGGGTCCTGAACCACCTAAGACAAAGCAAGCAAAGATGTGTTTCTTTCTCTTTGCTCTTGACAGTAGAAATTAATGATGCCCTGAGTTCCCCTAAGTGATGGTCTGTAAACCAGATAAACCATTTCTTTCCCTACACTGCTTTTGACTGAAGTATTTTATTACAGCAACAGAAAGGAAACTGGAACAGTATGGCACAGTGGACTTCCTCAACTATAGAAAAATGCTGATTCCTGGATACCTGGAGGCAAGGTAGGTCCTTACCTTCCAGTCACCTTCCGTGTTCCCCTCTGGTTCGAGGGAGGCCACAACCTTCTCAGAGATGAGCACCTCCCCTGTCTTGTTGTCAGTCATCTGTGAGGATTACACAAGAGTCATATCAAACCTGCTTCCCTCCCTCACCTTCCATTCTCCCGTCAGGTAAAGCAGCTTGATAGGTGGTGGTGGGAATTCAGGAAGGACTGTCCTGGTTAGGTACCTTGTCTATCTGCAGGTGGCTGGAGAGGGTATGGTTTCCCATTCTGTGCTCCTGGTTTTCTTCCTGATGGAAGTTCCTAGGAAGGTCCCGGAAGTCCATAGGGGAGGAGAAGAAGTTGTCCAGGTCCCGTAGCAGGTCATCCTAGGGCCCCGAGGGAGACCATGTGCACACCTGATGCACTTCCAGGCTGTGCCTGCCCCTTGCACGTCCTCTTTTCTCCACCTCCACCAAACATACTAGGCAAGCTCGGCGCCCCCTACTGGAGGGCTCTACCTTTGAGCTACACTCTCAGCTACTACAATCCCAGCCCTCTTTTATGTATTTATTTTGATTGGGTCTCACTGTAGCTCTGGCTGACCTGGCTGGCCTCAAATTCACAGACATTGTCCTGACTTTATCTCCGAGTGCATGGGTAACCAGGCCTGGCTCTTAATTTTTTGAAACAGGGTTTGACTAAAGTTGCCTGGGCTGACTTTTTTTTTTTTTTTTTTTCTTTTTTCTTTCACATGTTGGGATTTCATGTGAGCCATGTCCAAGTCCAGGACCTGCTACCTGGGATGATGGGTTTTCAGTCCTGGCCAGGCCCAGCTTCTTTTCCTACTTTGTTTTGTCCTGTCCACCATCATCTGTCTGTTCAACCCACTACCTTGTAACTCTGCTTTTCTTTGAGATAAAGTCTCAAACTTCCTATGTAGAAGAAGGTGGTTCTAAGACTCCCTTTTCACCTGCCTCCCCCTCCTGAGTGCTGGTATAACCCGTGCTGGGCAGAGACACGACCCCAGCTCTCTCTGTTCTGTTGACTCCTTCTGTCCCTTAAGCCCTGCCATCACTCACTTTTAGGAACAGTCGGCTGAAGCTTTGGAGAAGACTCTGAAGTCCCAGAAACCCGGAGGAGACCTCCTGAGGGTCGGCATCATGGATCGGGGCAGCAGAGGAGGGCACGAGCGCCGAGGGGAGCAGCAGCAGCAGGACCCCCAGTCGACACATTTCGGGCGGGTGGGAGGCTGTGACA